CACCAAGCAGCACCCAGCCTTCTGACACAGCAACAACAGATGAAATGAGACATTCTTTGATCCGATACGACGACATCAACTGGCACCAATTGCACGAAGGTCTTTCAAAGGCGTAGACCTCTGCAGCACCATAGCTTGTGAAGAGGGTGCAATGAACTTTATAGGACTTCTTTGTATCATTGACAAGTACTCTTTCTGGACTGCTCAAGACTGATTTAGTTGTTGGGAAGCTAATACATACATTGTCCACAAGCAATACGATTACCCAAAGTTATCAGCAGCCTGAACCAGACATCAAGAGATCCAGTCAACTGGAGCAGCTGTTGAAGCAACTGCCTCTTCAGATACAGGGAATAAAGGCATGGGAAGCTTCGGGTCCCAAGCCTGGAGTCAATGGAAGGGAGGAACCATGAAGTCAATATAAGGTGTTACCCACTAATCCAGATCGACAAACACAGAAGACAAGGAAGGTGGTGGCCAAGGCGACGACGTTGCGTTGGCTAAGGGAAGGCATGGGAAATTTGCAGTGCCCTTGCCATTATGTACCTTAGGTAGATGGATCGATAAGCGAGAAAACATGAGCTGCCATCAGAGATACCCCTTCCGCTTCTGCCAACACATTTTGCCATAGCTGCCCCATCCATTCGCTACCTTACCTACCTAGGTAGGTACAAGGCAGCCTCCAGCTTTGCCGTCTTTCCGCACGGCAACATCGATACCCCAAGCCTGCTTCAGTTTCTGCCATTACATCAACCTCCTCTCGCCACTGCACGCGTGCAGTCCGATAGGGTCGGAAATCACCTCCCGCCGAATATCTTTTGTCCACGTCGAGTTGACTTTACCAAAGAAAGACATGGTAACCGCGCACTCGTCCACGGCTACGAGCCCAGATACCAGACCCTGGCAAGTTTGAAATTCCGAACACCCAGAAAAACGCCAACGGGGGAGTGACCGCATTGGTTCTTGTTGCTGAATAGGAAATAGGTGGATGCCGTGCCTGCTACCCTGCGCAGTAGTCGGCAGATCCTCGCAGGGATGTCTCTCAAACTGGCCCAACTGAGCTGGCAAGCATCGCATGAGCATCCCAGAGGGTGATGTCCCCCCCATGCGAGCTTGCCGCAATTCCGCAATTCCGTCAACTTGCCGTGTGGCTTTGCTATTTGGATTTGAGGATGCCCGGTGTGCTGGCATGTCGTATCGTACGAGTTGGAAACACCGAAACCAGAGAAGAAGCGCCGTGTAGTCGGTCCTTGTCTTGCAGCGCAAGGAGACGGAGCTGTGGGAAGTGACCCTACTCTGTGCTATCCAAATCGGCACCCAGGAGGATGGCACAGAACTGAATCGACACTACCAGCCAGAATCATTGGTCCACAGTTGGATCCTAGACCCGCTGCCTGTCGTCTGGATTGTCGGGGACAGGCACCGGAGGATCAGGTTGGGGCTTGGGGCGTGGCTTGTCAGCCTCCTGCAATGGAGCAAATGCTGATGCCGCCTGCATGTTGCGGGAGATATCTTGGAGAAGGCCGCTGATACCCATGATTTGCTGCGTCTGGTTGTCCAGCCAGCACCAGTCTGGAACTAAATATGTTCTTGGGTAGTAAGGTTGACGAGGCGCCATACGAAAGCGAGACAGAGGCCCGGTGCGGATGAGCGCTGGTTCAAATACTGCAACAGCTGAGTGATCGAGAAAACAAAGACGAATGGGATGATAAAGACCGCCATCAAGGCAGGGAGGCTGACCATCTGCATCTTTTTAAAGAGCTTCTCAGGGCCCTGCCTTACCTTGCCATGCCACCCCACCCCACCTTCGCGAGCCCAAGACGCTCGAGCGGCGGGAGGGATTGGATGCGGAGCTCACAGCCCTTTCGGAGGCCCTCCCAAGCTTCCAAGTTACCCGACGGTAGGGACGGGAAGGATGTTTTCTTGGTTCTCCTATGGGAGTCTCTGCCGAAGGAGCACGTGGCTCGCAGCAATGAAACCTCTTGATACTTTGATCACCAGGATGAGCTTCGAAGGCGACGAGCAAAAGACAATCGGCGGGCGGCGGTGGGCTGCTGGCGGGCACCTCCCAGGAACCCCTCATAGACTTGCCGATATGACAGGCCCCGACCTGAAGTCTACTAGGAGTCGACCTACGCACAGGCTCTCACCTGTCACACTTTCTTTTTATATATCAGGGACATATCACGGAGGATCATGGGTACGGACAGGGATACAAAACCTGCTTAGTCCGTCCAGCTGACGATGACCAAACACGGGACCAAATAATGAAAGACGGCGGAACACAAGACGGTCAGTCCAGATGGCGTGTCGAGCTCGACTCTGCCGCCCTTGCGGCCTGCGCACGCGCTTCTCGGGGTTCTTGTATCACAACAGACGACTGCTCCGCTGGCATCAGCTCAAAACGAACGCTAGGGCGCAGCATGGGAACGTATTAGACCGGGCAGGCCGTCAAGGTTGGGTTCGGTGAGCGGCAGATCGACTCGGGCGGGGCCACTGAACGTTGGGCTTCGGCAGGGCAGTCCTGCGCCGCGGGAGATGTGCCGGAAATTGGACAGATTGGACAGGATTTTGCGGTTTTGACAGGTGTTTATCCGCTGGAGCTGAGCTTCGCTGGAAGCTGCTCGCCATTGCCGCCCCTCAACTGGAGCCTGTCATCAAGCTTTACGTCCTGAAACGACAGGGACATGAAAACGGCGACAGGGATCCTAGTTGGGATTGAGCGGCCCGTGAAATGGACGACAACTGCCTGAACGGGACGACATCGACCCATCCGCTTTACGCTCTCTGATATGGGAGAAACTGAGTGAAACCGGGATGCCCGTCATTCGAGACTCGTCTACGACTTATTGAGGGAGAGCCATGCTGCCACAAGACCGATTGTTGTCTCCCTGGCTAGAACCGAGCCGATTCGGCGGGTCTTGCATACGGTAACTTGGCCCGAGAGTCACAGTCCGCAGCTCCGTTCCGGTCAAGGTACCCGGCGAAAGGCCGCCCACGCGCGTCGCAAACCCCCCTTCTTTCCGCTCGCACTTACCGACTTCACATGTTGCCTCCGCCGAGGACAAATCCTATCCGCTTGCAGCAGACACCACCGTCACGCCATTGATGCCGGAGATACGTCGAAAAACCAATCCATGACGAACGAAAGCATCTCAATCGGTCGATGAGGTCTGGCAGTCCTACGGTTGTCGTCGATCGATGATGGAGTCGGGCGCAGTAATGAAGCACGCGAGGACGGGATGTGAGGGCGGCCCGAGCGGTGGACGCGTGACCGTCACATCAGTCTGGCTGGTGTTGGTGGGATGGGACACTCTTGTGGGACACTCTTGTTGTCGTACAAGGGGGCATGCCAATAAATTGGCAGCTGGACAATGCCTCAACGTATTCACCACCGTTCTCTGCCAGGGTCGACTGCAGCCTTTAGATATCGGGAGAACCGGAATGGAGGAGTGTCCCGCGATACGGGCCACCAGCAGCAAACATGGCCGTCTGTGTGACCAAAATCATACCCTTACCGTACCATTTGGGTCGAACACTACCTCAAAGGAATGGGGAAGTGCAACGTCGAAACACACACGCTTGCACATCCTGGGTACCTAATGGACAGGCTTCCAAGTGCCGGAGATCTTGACGATGTCTAGCCAAACGACGCAAATACAAAGGCCGGCAATAGGCAAAGTCAAATAGCCCAGCCCTCGTCGACGGAGATTCTGTTTCTAGCGTGCATGCCACCACTGCCTCTGCTGCTGGCATGGGACATAGGATGGAAGTTTCGGCGATGGGAGAACCCACCTCGAACAAGTAGGGTCTGCGTCATCAATGGCCATCATCCTCGGCCGTCGGGCCAAAGCAAACTAGGGGAAAGGGGGAAATGGACGCCAATGTACTCCGCACCCAGTTTACTGCCACTCAGTACAGCCGGGACCCCCACTCTCTTCTGGGAGCACTAGGAAGAGTTTGGATGCACCAGCAGAACGCACAAAGAGGGGCAACACGGGATATCTTTGAGAAGCAATGAGGGGTATTCGGGGCGCTGCAGACATCGAGCATCCCTCAAGCAACCACACCCCGTGGCCCCCGTTCCGACCCTGTATCATGACTTGCAGCTAGGCTAACTGTGGTCTAGTCAGGCTGTGTACAGCGTACATGACCTGCACCGTCAGGGGCTGGAGAGGGGCCGCTTTTGACCGGATTCGTCGCCGAGGCTCTTGTCATTGGCCGGCTTCAAGGAACCTCTCTTTTACCCGCGAGAGCCAGTCCGCGCCGGAGTCCCTTCTTTTCCTACTGTACGACCTTGTGCAGCGCCGGAGACACTTGACCGACGGATTTCACAAGTCTTGGATTGCTTGCACCCGATTCTCAATTCAATGCTCATCCCCATCCCTTGCCCCGCAACGCCAGAACACCAGCGAGCACCCCGCAACCCAATGCACAAATGCATGTGAGGGCGGAAGAAGATTGAGCGATCCAGCAACGAATGAGCCTCCTGACTGGCTGCGGGCCTCAACATGATGCTCGTGAAACCTTGGACAACCTTGGGAAGCTCGGCACATGTTGATGTCAGACGGCTTACCCCTCCTGTTCCGTACAAGAACACCTGGAGTTGTCCCCGATGCTTCGTCTGTTCTGGTACTCTCTCTTTTCCCTCTTCACAATCACAACCACCAACCACCCCGACCAATTAGTGCGAACTGAGGGTCTGATCACTCGACACACCAGCCTTTCTACTTGTAATATACACATTAGCCTTGGGGACACAAAAAGCTTTGTTTTGATCCCTGACATTTCTTCTTCACGCATTTTCATCCAGTGTCTTGCATTCTTCGAACCAGACCCCCACGTTGGTGATGTCCCACCCTCAACATGTGACGACGCGACTGACCCAACAATCAGGAACCACCGTCTAACCGTCCGAGCGACCGCACCCTGTTCGTTCGACATCTAGACGAGACGACTGACGACCAGCCTCGTCCTCGACTTCAAAATCTTTCACAACCATGGCACCACTCACGCCCCATTGGACCCAGCCGTCCCACCCGGACATCCAGGATGTTATCAAGGCGAGCGAGACTGAATTTCTCACCAAGAGCTTCTCCAAGGTGGCTCTGCCGCCTTTCGCAGTCTATGCAAAGATGTCTTTCCCACCTTGCAACTTGGCAGATGAGCCAACATACGCGACCGTCCAGTGCGGCAAGGATAAACACCTCAACCTCAACAGTGACCTGCTGTACATCAACCACTCCTGCGAACCGTCTCTAGTCAGTCATCTTCCTGGGCCCTCGCCAGGTCCCCAGAACCGCGAGCACGGACAGGCAGGGTCATCCTGGGAATATGTGAGATTGACAGGTGCTATTTATAGATCTTCGACACGGGCAACTTTAACGTTCTGGCTGGCCCGAAAGGACTCCAGCCAGGCGACGAACTGACTGTAAGTTTGATTGACATCCGTCACAATTTCTCCCGAGACCGAGGAAACCCCCTCGCCCCGCGAAACCAGAACATCACTCATATACCTGGTCATCACATCCGTACTAACCGGACCACAGTTCTTCTACCCCTCTACGGAGTGGCACATGGCCCAGCCCTTCGACTGCTTCTGCGGCACCCCGTCTTGCCGCGGCCGCATCGCCGGCGCACGCGACATGCCCCGCGCCCAGCTCGAAGGCCTCTGGCTGAACGGCCACATCCGCGAGCTCCTCGACGAGCGCGACTCTGGTCGCTCTGGAAATGACGACCCGACCGCCCAAGCGCTGAGAGACGCGCTCAAGGCCGCTGAGCGCGTTGTCGAGGCAGCCCGCTCCGCTCTGAGGACCTACACCGAGTCATCCTCCGCCGGTGGCAACAACGCCCCGCAGCAGGCGCAGGCGATCAAGAACGGCGTCAACGGATCCAAGACCAATGGCAGCAGGAACGGGGCGAGTGCCCGAGAGCTGGGCGGCGAGTTGGGTGGTGACACGACTGCGTAGATGCGGGCCGGTAGCGGAAAGGTGGCCCGCTGAAAGCGTGGGGAGGCAACTCAACTTGTCTTGCGCACACTTGATCTGAACTGAGCATTTCCCCCGTGTTTCTCTTTCCTTGCGAATTCAACATCTCGCTTCTCATATCTAAAACGATGTCAATTGAATTCAGGAACCGAAGACGAGATGGGCTGGGTTAGAAAATCGTAGAAAATGGGGATAAAACAGAGGATGATTTAGACAATAGACAAGCCATCAGCCCCCATTCGACACATTGCTGCAGAGGCATTGTTCCGTGATTTTTCTGGATTTCTTGACTCGATTCTACACGAGAAAATGACACTCTAAAACTCCAATGATATGCCCGACCAGAAACCAACCAGGAAAAAAAAAACCACAGCATCACACGCGATCCTGGCACCCCTGACGCCTGTACCACCGTACTACTACAATCGGCAACAGCATAATCATCAACACTGTCTCATTTTCTCTCTTTTCATTCGCCCAGGTGACGAGACGGCCCTTTGGCAATCTTAGTCGCGATCAAGCCAGCGGTCTCCCAAACTCTGCCTACGTCCCTTCTCGCTGCCGACGCCTCCGGCATATTGGCTCTCGCTATCCTCCCACTCCTTCCTCTCCACGATCCTCCGAGCCAGGAACGCCCTCGCAAACTTCCACGCCTCCGTGTCCGCCAAGTTCCACGCCTCGATGGCGCTGCGCACGGCGAGGTCCTTGGGGTCCTTGGTCTTGCCCATGTCCCGCGCGCGCTTGAGCAGCGGCGGCTCCTTCTCGAGCTCCTCCTCGGAGGCGACGGGGCCATCGGCTGGGTCGTGCTTGGGCTGCGGGCGGCGCTCGGGGCCGGGGACGGGGGTCTCTGAGGTGCCGTCGGTGGCATTGTGGGGAATGGCGAAGCCGAAGTGCCAGTCGAGGTCCTTGGGCAGGTCCTTCTCGGCGGTCAGCCAGAGGGAGTGGGCCGTAGCGAACTCGCCGGCGACGGCTTCCTTGAAGCGCAGGATGCGGGGCTCGGAGCCGATACCGACGCCCATCAGCTCGGTCGTGATGGCGGTCAGCCAGGCGTCGCGGTCGGACTTGCGGCGGATCCAGGGAATCTCGATGTTGTCGTTGAGGTTCGTGAGGAGGACGGTGGTGTATGGGTGCGGGACGGTGCCGATCGTGTAGAGGGTTGTCGTGTTGCGGTAGCGCGGGGGCGTGGCGATGTGCATGGACTGGGCGGGCACGCAGGGCTTGCACTTGGGGTTGTTGGGCGGGCAGGAGCCGGGCATCGGGGAGTCGGGGCACATGGAGAGGTCGTCGGCGAGGTGCCAGGCATTGTCGATGAGGTGTGTCATGTGCTGCGGCAGGGGCTTGAGGACGGCGATGCCGTCGGAGAAGACGTTCTGCCAGGTCGTGTGCAGGTGGGCGTTGATGAGCTGTTTTAGGCCCCTGAGACCGGCGGCGCGGTCACCGGCGATGGCCTCGGCGACTTTGGGGTATTTGTCTTGAATGATGTCGACGTCGTAGTAGGCGATGGCTTTGGGGAAGTTGTCGATCTTGAATGTGTCCTCGGACGCAGCAGCAACGAAGTCCTTGGTCTCCTTGAGCTTGGAGCTGGCCATGGTGGCCTTGATGGCGGCAGTGACGTCCTTCTCAGCGCCGGCGAAGAGGCCGTTGCCCAGGTTGTTCCAGCGGGTGAGCTGGGGGTACTCGCCGCGACGGAGGTAAGCGATGAGGGGATCCTCGTGCGAGCCCATGGGAAGGGTGGTGTGGTATGCGAGCAGGCCGCCGCGCATGTTGTCCCACGCAAGCCAGCGCATCATGTCGGTCTTGAGGTCGGGGTCCATCTCCTTGTTGCGCTGGAGTTCGTCGTAGAGGGGGTTCTTCATGGCCTCGGCAGCGGAGAGGATGATGGGTTTGAAGCCACGGGCCCACCAGGCACGGCGCCAGGTGAGGAGGAGCTCGCTTTCGGCATCCTTCGCATCGGCGGGCTTCTTGATGGTGGTATCGTAGTAGCAGTAGATTGGCGGGCGGGTCTTGAGGGGCGGGAGGAGAGAGCGCTCCTCGTCGAGGGTCAGGGAGGAGGAGAAGGGAACAGAGAGCCACTTCCAGTCGGCCCACCAGGAGGACTCGCCATAGGTGTCGTTCTGTTGGCGCGGGGGCGCGTGGGATGGTGTGCGGAAGGGATTGAGGCGGCTGGTGGCGGAGAAGGGGTTCTTGATGGCGGCCGGGATGGAGAACTTGTGATCGGTGTACTTGCTCAGGCTCGGGCCGGAGGGGATGGTGCTCGGCAGGGTGAAGAGGAGGGAGAAGACGGCGAAGATGGAGATTGAGACGAGGAGGAATGAGATGCGTCGTGTGCCGAAGCGGGGGAGGGGACGGCCGAATATCATGTGTTGCTTCGGCATGATGGGCTAGGTCGCGCGGCCGACTCAGCGGCGGAAGCGGCGGCAGTGAGAGAGTGAGCTTGGCAGAGCGCCGGGACCCGGTGGGATGGTAGGTTCGATTGAGGCTATCGTCGGCCAGTCGACTCGGGTCGGAGAGGGTCAGGCTTAGTTGGGAAAAGAGGTGGACATTGACAGGGAGCTCTGATGAGGGCCAAGCCAATTAGACGCACAATTGGCTTCTGCAGATGGCAAAGAAATACAAAGGCTAATTGGCTGGTTTGGGGAAGAAGAGAAAACGCAAAAAAGCTTAAACGAAGGAAAAGGGAGCCTCGAAGGGAGCTTTGAGGAGGAGGAGCGAAGGCACGCGATTGTGAGAAAATTGAGCTGACGACTTATCATCGATAAACGTCCAGTCCTTTCATCCCTTTTTTCCGGGCTGGGGGTCCCGTCGCTGACGACGGCAAGGCACTGGAGTCTGGACACGGTAGGCGGCAAGGGGAACTCGGCACAGCATCTATCTGAACCAACCAACCAAGGAGCTGCTGGGCAAAAGTGTCATCCGTCATCCCGCGCCCCAAAGGTCTGGGCGCGTTTTCAGTGCCTGCAGGGATCTGTACCTACCTTAGTCGTGTGGTGTGGCTTGACAGCTTGCGTAGCTCCTCGATAAGGGCAGGTCACTGGCTTGTGGCTCAGGCACCGTGTGGCTGGTGGATCATCTGGGGGAACTGGAGTGTTCGGTTCCTTTGGTCTCCATCTCACCTCCACATCACCAGACGTGCTTAGGAACTCCTGTTGTTGATATTACCGCCAGAGACGATGCAACTCAACATGACTGCGCCTCACCCTATCACTCTATTCTTTCCGCTACAGGTGAGAACTTCTCGTGTTATCCACATTGGCCCTAGCGGTTAAGTTCGTGCTGCTGCAGTCCAGCGGCACAGCATCCAATTTCAGTCCATCATGGTCTTTAGCCATTGAACAGCCCTGGAAGGCCATCGTTGGATGCAACCCTCGCTTCTAAACCCATGCAAAATATCCTGTGTCTCTGAAATGGGACCTTCTTTGGGTCTAGTCAAGGCAGACAGGAGATGAGCTTAAAATTTCCCGCGGTGCCTAATTTGCACCTTATGAGGCCCGATCCGCCCCTCTCTTGATCCTCTGACTGCTTTCCCTCTCTCACGAATCACCCACCATGCTGTCGCATCGCAAGCACTGGCTCGGCCAAGTGCTGCTGAGCCTGTTGTGTTTCTGCTTAACTTCCGCTCGAGGTGACTACTTCACTAACCCCGCGAGCTTCGAACTCGACCAAACGGGTGCCCAAATCACCACTCAAAACCTCAACACGACATACACGCTTGGCCAAAAGGTTCAACTCACTTGGGTTGTTCCGAATGTGCCGTACATATCTCTTGTTTTGGTGCATTGGGGAAAGGATGAGGGCGTTCCAATGGCTTCATTCATAAGTAAGTTGGTTCAACCCTTTTCCATTTTCCTTTGGCTAACATACAGCAGCCAACGATCGCAACAAGGGTTACTACACTTGGTTTATCGGAGAGAGCGACGGTCTCACGGAAGGATCAATAAAGAATAACCCAAACTTCGCGCTGAGGATCGTCGATCCGACCGGGAACTACACCAAGACGGGCGACCCTCCGGGCTTCATCGACAACGAACTTCAAAGCAGGGGTTTCGTCATCAAGGGCAAGGCAGAAACAGAGGCCAAGGCCTCTTCAGCCAGCCTGTCCATAGGCGCTGTTGCTGGTATTGCCATTGGATCATTCGCAGTTGGCGCGCTTGTGGTACTTGCGGTGTGGTGGCTCTGGCTCCGGAAGGGACGCTCTCATTCCAGCCACGACGATGCCCGCCACCATATGGCACCTGCGATGCGTCACGACTCAGCCTACGCAAGTCCAAACTCCTCGGGAGACCACATGTTTCAGGCCCATAACCCTCACGGATCTTCTCATCTATCGCATCAAGTCAGCAACGTAAGCCCCATCAGCCCGGTGCGTCGGCATACGCCCCCGCCGTCATATCCATCTCCGATCGACGAGCATCCGTCGCCCATGACGGAGCTCTCTGGGACACGTGAACCCCAAGAAGTCTCGTCGGCCAGCATCAACTACCCAACTGAACTTGCTGGATCCCATCGACGTTGAGACTAGGGAAGCAACATATGTTCGTTAGGTGTGGAACGGCGTAAGCGAGGCGCAGTACTCTGCTGTGAGCAGATATGCTACAAGCTGAATTGATCCTATAATAGAGGTCTACTTCGTATAGTTATGATGTCCGCCGCCATCCTAATCAATTAATATTTATAACTGAAAATACCTATCGTGGATCTTCGTCTGGGTTCCACGTCGGCGTCCGATCTTAACTATACTGATATCTGATTTCATACTCTCTTCAATGCATTATGCAAAAACTCGAAGCCCTGAGATCACTTTCAGTATCAAGTCCTCCCGGACGTATGATTGAAAGCGTATTTTCGAAGTTGAAAGGATGCCCTAACACAGATCCGGCATATCTCTACCAAATTTGCCGGACGATTGCCCCACAATTGTTAGGCCATCAATAGCCTCCATTGGAAGACACTGGAAATCCATGACTCTGCGCCAACCTCACTCACTCATCACTAACTTGAACCTCGTCACCAACTTCCTCAAAACCCGCACCCCTGCAATGACAGACGCCCAGCCCGAAATGAAAATCGATCCCGCCAGAGCAAAGGCGCTCGTTTCGCAGCTGCAGGCCGTGCAGGAGCGCGTCACTGCCGTTGCAGCGGGCCGCAATGTGAGTTTCCCGCGGGGTGTCATACCCCCCGCCAAACCGGGAATGAAAAGTCGCTGACGAGACGGTGACAAGGTCCGCTTGGTGGCCGTATCCAAGCTGAAGCCGGCAAACGACGTTCTCGCGCTTCACCAAGCCACGCCGCCGCAGCTTCACTTTGGAGAGAACTACGCGCAGGAGTTGGGGCAGAAGGCGGAGCTTTTGCCGAGGAGTATCCAGTGGCACTTCATTGGCGGCTTGCAGTCTAGTACGTTGACTTATTTCCTTTACACAACATCTCATCATCTCTCATAATGAGACGACTATTTTCAACTCGAAGTGAAAGAAGAGGGAGAATAAATGAGAAGGACTGACACACAATAGCCCACGCCAAGAAACTGGCTAAGATCCCAAACCTCTTCTGCGTCTCGTCCGTCGACACCCTCAAGAAGGCCCAGCTTCTCAACACCTCCCGCGCGGAGCTCATCGCCTCCAACCCTGACGCTGCTCCCCTCGGCATCCACGTCCAGGTCAACACCTCTGGCGAGGAGTCCAAGTCCGGCGCATCCCCCGGCGAGGAGACGGTCGCCCTCTGCCGCGCCGTCGAGAATGACTGCCCCTCGCTGAGGCTTCTGGGCCTCATGACGATCGGCGCCATCGCGCGGAGCAAGGCGACGACGCCCGAGAACGAGAACGAGGACTTTTTGTGTCTGAGGGAGCAGAGGGATCTGGTTACCAAGGAGCTGGGGCTCGACAGGGAGCTGGAGCTGAGTATGGGTATGAGTGAGGATTTTGAGGGAGCTGTGAGACTGGGAAGCGGGGAGGTCAGAGTTGGAAGCACGATTTTCGGAGAGAGGGGGCCGAAGAGTGAGGCCAAGGTTGTGGTTTAGGGGAATGGGCTTGTGTTTGGTGGGTGATTTACGGCTTGGTTTAGAATACAGTGTGACGTTTAGACTTGGTTTCTGTTGCTCCCTTCTTCTTGGTTACTGGCACTATCCACATAAGCGTGTTTCTGTTGCATATCCAATAACATGATAGTCTTACAGGCCTCTTCCGTACATCCCCAGCATTCTACCGTGCAGAGGCTGTAAGGCTCGGTGATGTTTCAAAGGATCACGTTCTCGGTAGCCGAAGGAATAGCGGGTGCCCTCGAGAGATTGCGCAAATAATTTCGTCCATCCAGCTGCAATAGTACACAACATATGCGACTAGAAAACGACGTCCTTGGCCGAGTGAGACTGGTCACAACATGCGAAAACTTTTGCATACAACGTATCTCGAGGTGTTACATTTGTAGAACAGTGAGCGCTGACTCTGGCCACATATTTCGGCCTTTCCACTTCAATTCAGGTATTCTCCCGGCATTCATTTCGAAAGCTTTTGGCCTTCAGTCTTGCGCTTTTATTCCAACGGTCATGTTTCGGTCGCCTCATTTCATGTAAACATCCAAAAGGATATGCCGCGAAGTCATGGCGAGCTCAACGCAGATCTATACCACAGCGACAACAACACACTGGTCGGTTACGAAGGGACAAAAATTGTCAACGGTCTATGAGTTGGCGCCCCAAACAACGCCGTTTTCTGCCACAGACAGCGTCTGCTCTGTCATTCCCAAGGGAATCCGGTGCGAAGGAAAAACAAACGAAGTGACGCCACGGACGATTTGCTGGGGGCTTCAGTTCGTGGAGGAAACAACAACGTGGTTCCCGACACAATGTTTCCCGAAAACCTACACCAATATCTTCAAACCTTTCGACGACTTCGGTGAGAAAGACCACGCTATGGGTATGATACAAAGAAGTGGTTGACAAATCTTTGATTTCAGATGATGTGACCAGTTTAGCCTACCCGGGTACAGCTTGCATCAGCGACTGGACGGCGGCTTGCACCAAGACCTTAGACCTCACAAGCTCACAACGATACATCCAAGTATGGTGTTGTCCGCCCGGCTGGAGCTGCTACAAGGCACCTGCAGGGTTCCCCGATACCCGCGATTGCTACAGTATCGTCAGCACGCCGACCGATATCTGGTTCTATCCCATCGTGACGACGGGACGGAGCGATAGTACTATTACGACGTCTTGGACGAAGGTGCCTCTGGCAGATCTCCCAAATCAAGGCCCTATTGAAGTTCATCACCCTGTCTTTCCGCTCGAGGTGCGCGTTCCGACTCAAGATAGCAAAACAGAAGCCTCTGGCATGTCAACAGGAGCGATCGCCGGGACAGCTGTTGGCGTCATAGTTGTAGTGCTCGCTCTCGTCGGCGGCGGGCTGTTCGTATGCCTGCGCAAAAGGAAGCAAAAAAGAGAAGCAAAAATCTTGCAGATTGCTGCTGGAGAGAGAGATATCCATCAACGTGGCTACGACAACAAGCAGGAACTCTCAGGGGATCACGCCCATGAGACCATAGAGCTGAGCAAGACGTCACCGCCCCCAGTCGAATTATCATCACAACCTCGAGCTGCAGAAGTAGAAGGAACAGTTCGCCCTGTTGAACTGGCATGATTTTCAGATAATGTCTGTTGTTTTTCGTCCTGTATATGCAGCAACTGTCTGTTAGTCTGTGTATTAGACTTGCACTCTACCATGCATACGATAAAGTAGTAATAATGGATCAATAGCAATAGATCATCCACGCCATCTCATATAAGACGTATATATGAAAGTTCAGTTCTATGGGCCGCCTATTGAAAGCCATTTGGGTGGCAAGTGATTTCTTCTATCTCAATGCCTCGGCAAGGGGTCTATTTGACCGTCGGCGAAAACAGCTATTACACCGAGCCCATTACTCGGTGCCCTTCAGCCCCCAAACACGCATTTATTAGCTACAGCGGTAACGAAATCTCTTCTTGTTCTAATGGATGCGGATACAGTTTCCGACCATTGGTACTACTCCAGGAATTCCACTGTGATTCTGTCGCTCGCACCACGGATGAGCTGGCCGAGACCCCACAATCCGGCCGGCTCGGTGACGGGACGCATGCGCCGAGTATCATCGGCTTCGAGATCGAATGCGCTGAAGGCCTGATGAAGATTCTGACCAATTCTAAGAGCCCTGATAGCTGTTTTAAACTCGTATAAATCACATGGACTTTTCAAAAATGTCAACCCAAATTCACTGAATGTACCAAGAGCTGTTCAAGTTGGTCACTGTCAGCCCCTCGTCACCTTTTTTTCAAGATGCCACAGATCAACGGAGCCTCGGAAGCCCTTCACTTCCCAGCTATAGACAGCCCTGCGGCAAAAGGTGCCTCGTACTACACTCCGCTTCAAGATCCAGTCTCCGGCACCGCAATCAGCACAACCACCGGCGCCCCCATTCCCAAACTCTTCACGCCGCTGACCGTCCGTGGCGTCACCTTTCAAAACCGACTCTTCTTGGCGCCCCTCTGCCAATATTCAGCACAGGACGGATACGCAACTGACTGGCATCTGACACATCTGGGTGGCATCATCCAGCGCGGACCTGGTCTCGCCCTGATGGAATCTACTGCAGTTCAGCGGGAAGGCCGCATCACACCTCAAGACATCGGCTTGTGGGAAGACAGTCAGATCGAGCCGCTGAGACGGATCATCGAGTTCGCTCACAGTCAAGGTCAGAAGATCGGCATCCAGCTCAGCCACGCCGGTCGTAAGTCCAGCACCGTGGCGCCCTTTCTGCACATGAACGCTACTGCAAGCGCGGAGGTTGGCGGATGGCCTGACGAGGTGTATGCGCCTTCTGCTCTGCGGTTCAACGATGCCTATCCGCAACCGAGGGCTATGACACTCGAGCAAATCCAGGAGTTCAAAAGGGCGTTCGTGGACGCAGCAAAGAGGGCCGTCAGGGCCGGCTTTGACGTGGTCGAGATCCACGCCGCCCACGGCTATCTCATCCATCAGTTTCTTAGCCCCATCAGCAATCAGCGCACAGATGATTACGGCGGAAGCTGGGAGAACAGAGTGAGGCTAGTCCTTGAGATCACAGATCTTGTGCGAGCCTCTATTCCAGAGGATATGCCCCTTTTCGTTCGAATCAGCGCGACGGATTGGTTTGACAACATGAAGAAAGAGTTTCCGGAGAGCTGGACTGTTGCTGACTCCTGCAAGTTGGCATCGATTCTTGCCGAGAGAGGTGTCGACTTCCTTGACGTCAGTTCCGGTGGTATTCATCCTCTGCAATCTACAAGCATCAAGTCTGGACCTGGCTACCAGGCACCTTTTGCCAAGGAGATTAAGAGGGCGGTCGAAGACAGGATGGTTGTGTCTGCTGTTGGCGGAATCAGCACGGGTGCCATGGCAGAGGGGTTTCTCCAGTCTGGTTTGGATGTCATCATGTGCGGACGTTGGTTTCAGAAGAACCCAGGTTTGGTGTATTCGTATGCTGATGAACTTGAGGTCCACGTCAAGATGGCAAACCAGATTGGTTGGGGCTTTGGTGGGCGCGGAAAGGGCACAAAACAATAAACGGCATAGACTGAGCGGTACGCTTGCAAGGTTCTTATTATAACACTTCTTTAAACCTTAACCTCGTATCTCCGTTTTGAGACAACCTCGCTCTTGCTGCTGACATTCGCTCGTGTCTGTCGAAAAACGAGGAATTTCGAGTGCACTGTCCCAAAAATTTTGACTGTATGGCCTTCTTCAAATGGACATTGATTTTTTTCCCATAGTGCTGAAATCTTTTGCCTCCAATGTAAATTCTGGTAGGGTTGGCTCTCCGGGTAGATGGGCATAGCTAGGTACCTATCTATACCATCACTCTATCTAGCGGAGGCCCCGCAGTCCTTATTGCGTTTTGCTCTACATGACATATTCCTGTTGTCTCCGTTACCGTCTGTTTAGGTTTCTATTTCTGTCGTCCGTCTTCCCTGTTGTCGTCTGTCGCCCGTATTGTCTCTGTTGCTTCTGTCAGTTCTAGTCATCGGAGGAACTTATCGTTTTACTATTAATAGGTAGGCCCCAATCCTGCAGTAATCAAATTGATCATCCAGCGTGTCAATCAAATCTACTGACGAAGGTACTAGGCCCTCGACGCCGATTCTCTCCTCTCTGAAGGTGGACACTTGTCTTCTTGGAATAACCTCATACAAACTTCAAACAATGTTTACTCGGTTTATGGAGCTCCCTCCTGAATTGAGACTTCTGATCTGGGAGCTCGCCGTTCGTCCTCTTCTGCCGAGTATTCACTACTTCATGGTAGACAGAGAGGAGGACGACGACGGCGGGAAATACTTTACCACGTTGCCCATAGATCGACACCCGGATCGGTACCTGCTGGGCGGAATGGAAAAAATCTCCCTCATAGGAGATGATTCTGGGTTATGGACAGCTTGCAAGGAGTCGAGATGCGTCGTGCAAAGAGCGTTCGAAAATCGTTTCCCTCGGACCGAGGGACCTGCCCCAGTCATATTCGGTACACGTCGTTACAGAAGACTTGCAGACAGTTCCAATGCGCGTTCGAGAGCCGATGAATATGCGAGAACGTATCTCAGTACAGACGCATGGATTGCGGATGCCAGCTTCGGTGTGCTTCCGCAGAAAGACTTGACAGTCTTCCAAGCAGTACCCCGCAACACATGGGACGTGAACAAGTTCATCAGAGACCTAGGATCTACGAAATGGGGTCTGGGAGTTGCGTTTGACGAGCCGATTGCGTTCGAATATTTTGCATTCTGGTCCTTCAATTACGACATGTCGATAGGTTTCAGCTCTGAGCGTCGGGCTTGGGAATACACGTTTGCCAAGCTCGCTGAAATGATGCGAGCCCCAGGCCCCCGTGCTCTATTTATTCGCCTTTTGATGGCAAGATACGCTGGTCGGATTAAATCCAAAATTTATCTCATTCAGTACGGCACATCGCAGAAGCCGAATTTCGACCAACGACGAGAAAACCGGGCCACTTTCTCCGGCTGCGGTTTTACTTTAACACAAGCCAGTTCAGGCGACATTGCAAGCCTCATATACTCTCCAATGGAAATGGCAGGCGTTCACAGCGGGTGCAAACTCATGACAGCGTGGGAATTCGAAGATACGATCTGGTTCATGTTCTTCCGACTTTTCGGTTTCCGGGATTCAGGGAACCATGTTCGGACTCCGCATCATGCAGAAGTACTGGTATGCGAAATGTCAAAACATTGAGAGCTACAGCATGAGGGATCAAAGAGGTCCCTCATATCGATTTTGCGTCCAAGCTTTGCTGAGATCGCTATTTGTAACTCCCTCGCTCCTTCGGCTGCGCTTCGCTGCGCGCCAGGACGCACGCTGCAAAAGGCCCACGAAGACAAGAAAAGAAAAAGTAAGGGACGACCAGGGACAACAAGGACGTAAGAAGTAATAAAGAAGAAAGATGGAATAGAGATTAAGCAGTAGTTGCAGTAAAGGGATTATACAGTCCCAGCTATCCACAGCCTCAGCTCGCAGCGTCATGCCAGAACGTCAGCGTAGATATGGCTCTCCTAATCACACCATGGCAGCGTGGGATTTCGAAGCTAGAGTCTGGTCCATGTTCCGAATACTTTTCGGCGGTCTTTGGATCCTGTTCCGGCTCATACAGACGTTCTGATTTGTGAATTGCTGAAACATTGAGGGCTATGGCAGCAGGGACGACAAGTGATGACGAGGACAAAAGGAGAAACAGAGAAGAAAGAGGGAATCGAGAGGTAGCAGCATTCGCAATAGAGAAACTTTGCTGCACATTTGACACAGATTTGCGCTGGTTTCATGTTGGTTATGCGCGGAAAACTGTGTGATTCGAATTGTGTATGTCTTTATCAAGATCAACATACCCTCAGCTCAAAGTGCCATGCCAGAACGTCAGCGTGATCATGTCTCTCCAAGTTGCTTGAACCTGCAGCTCGAAACTGTGGCCAGAGGGCCGCGATTCCCCTGACCACTACATCACATCCCAAGGCTTCCACAACCTAACCAGATAGCCTTTCAGCCTCCGCCTCATAGACGCCAAGACAGGGATCTTCCGACCATGACCACGCGTGATTCGCTCCCGACCGAGACTCTCAACGACAAGGCATCCAACGCTCAAAAGTCGCCGGAAGGGGTATTTGCTGACCGTAGCTGACGGCATGCCCAGCACGCACCCACGCAACCGCGAGACAAAGATTTCGTCACGGGAAACGGGGGGTCACCCCCTCCACCTTCAAGCCACAATCTGATTTATACGACCAGAAGTGGACGATGTCGTGATGTCTCGCAAGTCGGTGAGATTGTGCAGAGTCGTTCATTGGCCTGGTTCATGCTGACATGCCGAGTGTTTGCTGCGGCTGAGCCGCGCGCCCGAGCTGACATGGCTGGCTGGAGATCATCCCCGCACCGCGGCGCGCGGCCGGTGTGACGGGATATGCCCAGCGGCCCGGGTGTGAGACAGCCCCTTGCTGAGTAGGGCTGAACGAGGTCCCGAGGTACCGGCGTTGTCGCAGCCGTTCGGTGAGCGGGAGAGAATCCCGCGGCCATGGAGTGTAAGTAAGAGTTCCGATTGTGAGAAATAAAGTATATAAGCTTAACATGCTGACCTCTAGAAGCCGGTATGACAAGAGGATCCTCACCTCACTACCTTCGCTCTCTTCACTCTATTTTGCAACACTAACACATAACATCTTGTCAACATGTCTTCCGACGGCACTAGGGGCCCTATTCTCGTTCACGGCATCCCAGCCGATGATCCACGTAGGTTACTTGCAAGTCTCCCTTCAATTCAACTGCTAACAGCTCGCAGAGAACCCTCCGGTTCGTATGGAGGTTAGGGACATGATCAAGGACCAGCCGGATCAGTGGAACCTATACCTCCTTGGTCTGGAGAGATTCAAGGAAAATGTGCCAGAGGGGATGCCCCTCTCCTTTTTCGAACTCGCCGGCAAGTTGTCTCCTCCAACTCGGCTCCCACACGCACCTAACACAAGTGTCAGCCATCCACGGATTGCCCTACAAGAAGTGGCCAGACAAGCCATGGAACAACATGGTCCGCGTCGACAACGACTTCGGAGGCTTCTGCACTCACAGCTCGATCCTTTTCCTCACTTGGCACCGCCCCTATCTCGCCATCTTCGAGGTGAAGCTTCTACCCCTGAAAGCGTCATGTACGATGCGATGAGACTAATCACAATCACGACCAGACCGAGCTCTATAAGCACGTCAACTTCATCGCAAACGCCTACACCGAAGATGAGCGCAAGGCCGACTATGTCAAGGCAGCAAAGACCTTCCGCATGCCATACTGGGACTGGGCCCGTCCCGATCTCGGCGTTTTCCCCCCTCAAGCCGCCTCCGCAGCCCTCAACAAAGTCGTCAGACCGAAGGCGTTGTCGGGCAAGTCCGAGATCAATCCCCTGTCGAACTACACCTTCAGAGAGTCCGCATCTCTGCGGGACATCAACACCGTACCTGGAGTTCCCTTCCCCTCTGCCGGCAAACATACTGACACCCGCACCTCAGGTCCCCCGCGTCGGAGCCACAGTGCGCTACCCCAACATCCGCGACGGCGACGCCGAGATCAACCGCCAGCTCCTGGCCTTCTTCCAGGGCGAGCAGAGCAGCCCCAAGGGCAAGAACCTCACGGAGCGCGTCAACTTCATCCTACAGTCCTACACCGAGTTCGCCACGGCGTCGAGCAACCGCTTCGAGGCGCAGAAGCCCAGCAACATCGACTTCCGCGGCTGGGGGAGCATCGAGGACGTCCACAACGCCGTCCACAACTACACCGGCGGCCGCGGCGGCCACATGGCCAACCCCGAGATCTCCTCCTTCGACCCCATCTTCTGGCTCCACCACGCCAACATCGACCGCCTGTTCGCCATCTGGCAGGCCATCCACGACAAGCCCTCCGACCCCCTCACCTACGTGACGACAAAGCCCTCCGATGCGAACTGGGGCAACTTCATCGTGAAGGCCGGCGACCCGGAGGGCATCGATACCCCGCTGGCCCCCTTTGCCCAGTCCAGCAACGGCACCGAGCAGAAGTTCTGGACCTCGGAGGGCGTCCGCACCACCGAGGTCTTTGGTTACGCATACCCCGAGACCCAGAAGACGAGGTTCCCGACCCCCAAGGACGTCATCAACGAGCTGGACCGTCTCTACGGCAAGATGGCCACCTTTGCCAACATCATGCGCAGCAGCAGCGCCGACCTCGACAACGCCACCCAGGAACTCCAGCAACGCGCCAAGAACCACATCAAAGCCGAGCGTGGACAACTCGCAGCGGCCTCCGTAGAGCAAGCCCCCCTTGCCCAGACCAATGGCGTCCACCTCCCCAAGGAGCGCGAGCTCAAGAAGCTCGTTGGTGCCGAGAACAAGTACCTCGAGTGGCTGGTCAACATCAAGGCCGAAAAGGCGCAGCTCGGCGGCAACTACGTCGTTCACGTCTTCCTCGGCGATGTCGACGACGCCTCGCCCCTGCTCTACCCCACTCAGCACTCCCACGTCGGCGTCTTCGCCACTTTTGGCCAGAACGAGAACACGGCCTGCCGGAACTGCCAGGAGGGCCGCGCCCGCGGCCAGCAGATCACGGGCCAGATCCCCATCACCCTGGCCCTCGTCGAGCGCTACCTCGCCGGCATGGTCGACAGCCTGGCCCCCGAGGACGTGGTCCCGTACCTGCAGAAGAATCTCCACTGGCGCGTTGCCCTGGTCAACGGCGAGGTGCAGGACAGGCAGAACGTGGACAACCTTCTCGTGAGCGTTGTCACTGACGAGGTCACCATCCCGAGCAATCCGTCTGACTTGCCGGTTTATGCGCCTGACGTTGTCGTTCGTCCTGATTGCACTACGAACCGACAGGGAAGTGGCCGTGGACATGGCACTGGGTACTCTGGATGAGAGTACCTCACGGAATTATCAAGGACTGAAGACAGTCCTATCCGCCTTATCATTCGTGTATCATAGTCAGAAAACTTGCAATCTTCTTTTCGTAGTCTGCAACATTCAATGAAGAATGTGCCCACGGGGCTCGTTGCCAGGCTATTTCAGGTGTCTTGACTTGACTTTACTCACCAGCTTTTGGCCATCTAAAGTTCACCCTCCAGGATGCTATCGTGCTTGGTCCTCCTGGGTCATAGACAGCCCAAGCCAGGACAATATCATAGGTTTAGAGTATATTCAACTCATGGGCATACACTCAAACAAAACGGTCGACTAATTCAAAACTGCATTTGCCTGCTTTGACTACTAATACATTTCCTAACGCCCCCATCATCGCAATTTGCGTCGTTTAGATATGCTTCGTAGACATTACAGAAGACTTGCGAAAACAAAAGACCGTTATCCGTGTTCCATTCCCTCGTTTCCCCATCCGTTCCTGTGGTGAACAAAGGAAACTATCATTAAACCTCAGTCTCGACATCTGGCTTACGTCCGTTCAGAGATCCAAGCTTCGTAATCTTTCGCACAGCATACTTGGCTTCATCCTTGGCGAACTGCACGTTACGCATCGGACGCCACTGCATCAGGCCTCTGTGCTGGCGGTGCAAATCTCTGCTCCTGCTCTGGTAGTCCTTGTAAGCCTGGACAGGACCGTTGCTGTTCTTCTTCGAGACGCTGGATGATGCGTCGCTGTTGGCGCTATCGACAGACTTGCGAGCATCATCGCTTCCTTGGTTGGTGCTGCCCGGGTTGGTGCTAGCATCCGTAAGTCCGAGGTCGACATCGCTGCTGTCATCGTCCTCGTCGAAGGTGTCGCGTGACTCATCGTTCAAGTCCTCCTGTTCGCCATCCATGAGTGCCGTAGGGTCCTTGCCGAAAGCTCCACTCCAGTCCGTTCCGTCCTTGGCCATCCACTTCTCCTTCTCCTTGGGGTTTGCTTGAGCCAGGACGTCGCGTCCATGTGTCAAAGACTCGTCGTGAAGCTTCTGGACCGCAGGGGGCACCTCAGGCGTCACCTCCTCGCCACGGACACCCTCAGCAAAGCAGGCTTCCCAAGTTTCAATCGTCTCACGAGAGTCGTTGCTAGTGACAAACTTGATGTGGTCACGGTCGGTACCGGTGGAGAAGCGGCCACGGAACTTGAGGCGTCCAATCTCTTCAATCTCGATGTCGGGGATGTCCTTGTAGTTGTCTTCGGTGATGTAGTTCTGAGAGAGCCGGAGACCTCTGTCGCACTTCCAAATCGGGATGTCAAAGTCCTGCTCTTCCTGGTCGGGCAGCGATTGCAGCCACAAAGATGCGTAGGCATCGGCATGACGCTTTCCGGGAGGGTAAAACTCGAAGAAGACAGGAGACCTGTATCGATAACGGACGGGAAGACGGATCTTCTCGTGGTTGTTCTCGCCGCTGATGTCCCAAGAGTATCCTTCCGTCTCCTCCAGCTTTTGGCAAGTATCACGTTTGACGCTGACGGAGCTTCCGCCGGTGCGAATGCGAATCTTGGTCTTCAAGTGTCCGTAATTCGTAGCGTTCATACTGTTGGAGGTAAACTCGAATGTTCCGACTTCCCAGCCCAGCTGAGGGGGCGGCAGGCGCAGTTCGACGGATCTGAAAAGCAGAGAGATTCTGATCCTTCCAAATCCGATACCTCCGTCTAGAGGGTACCAGCGAGTGGCCTCACTGCCCGTCTGCATGATGTCGGAGAGTTTCAGAGGAACAACACCAATGATGGGATCGTGTTGCCTGTTGCGAGAATCGCGAACGGTGATGGTGGTGATGCACGATCGCCAATCCCGGATGAACTTTTCGGTACCGGCGTTAAAGATGGGCTGGGATGAAACAGCCTTTGTACGCGTCTTGTAAACAAGCTCGTCGTTGACAAGGATGGTGCAGTAGGAACTGGGCAGCTTGCTACCTTCCTCTTCTTTGACATCACCAGCATCGAGACGGGCCGGCTCGTACTCACGTCCTTTGCGCTTTCCATTGGAGCCCTTGACGTTCGCCAGTTCGAGTCCGACGATTTGGTGCACGACAATGCTAAGAATACCAGAAGGCCAAAGTGGGTCGGGAGGAGTGTGGACAACCGCATCTTCCTCGGCGGTCTCGATGGTGCCCTTCTCGTCCTGAAGCTCCTTCTTGTCCTTCAACTCAGGAGGAAGGTTGACGTCCTTACCGTCAGTGCGAAGAGCCTTGCGGAATTGAGTTTTTCCAAAGAAGCCAACCTCCCAGTGGAGTTCACCAGGCATAGTACTGTCGGCCTTAACGCCGGCCAACTTGGAAACCTGAGGGAACATCTTTCCAGGGTGCTGAATGAGCTTTTGGATGCTGAGTTCGACCTTGCCGACAACATCGTCTGCAGAAGAGCGATCGCTGTCCCACAGCTCGACTGACAACTGTTCGTCAGCCTTGATCAGGTCGGCGGTAACCAACAGCCCGCAGCTCTCCTCAAAGACGGGGTTCAGGTCATCCTGAATGACGCGAGTGCAGAACTGAGGCTTCGAGAACTTGCTCCAGGCAACGGTGATATACGGGTCCGAGCCACCACCCTGGCTGCCGCGGCGGTCCTGCTTGCTCAGACCGACGGCCTTGTGAATGCGGATGTAGAGCAGACCAAGAGCAAGGGTTTCCTTCTTGATGTCGTCGCCTTGGAGCATCTTGCTCAAGTCCAGAGTCATGCTCTTGGGAGCGACATACTAAATCCTGATTAGCTAGGGTGAAAGCATATGTGAGAGTACTACTTACCATGGAAGCAGCAGTGCCAATAGCCCAGTTGACGAAGTTAGAAATCAAAGGCAGGTTCAGGATGTTGACTCCCTTTTCAATCATGGGAGTGCAGCCGGCCTGGACCTTGGGAATGCCCATGAGCGTAAAAGTCAAAGTCTTCAGGAATGGTGGCTCAGGGGTAAGTTGGAGACGAATGCGTGCTGTAGCAACAAGACCTTGAAGTTCGACCCCTAGAGAATGTTAGACGACATTATGGTAGGACAAGTGGCCTTACTCACAGATCGGCAAGGGAACTCCAAAGAGGCCGCGAACACCAAGGTAGAACACCAACTGCATGCCCATATTGCGTGCCTTGGAGGAAATATCAGCTCCAGAGGGCTTAGCATGGTAAGCGACGGATGCTTCAAGGTTGTAGAAAGATCCGGCCTGCTCCATAGCGGCCAGCTCGTTGGGGTCGGTGTTCTTCTGGTTCTGCTTGTGGGCTTCATCCTTGATATCTTTGACGTGGGAGTCTGGCAGAGCTCGCAAGCTGAGGATGCGCAGCGGGTTGCTGCCCTGCGAAATATCGGCGACGCGGACGTTCTCAATAACGCCAGGGACAGAGGCAACCATGACGTCCTCCAGAGTGTCAGCGACACCGGCGAACATCTCGGGGTTGATCAGGTTCCACATGATGCCGAGAGCGGTGTTCATCCACTGTGGTTCGTTAGCGCGCCATCACCATCATTTGAACTCGATCTTCTTACCTCGACGGATTCAGGGACGAGGTTGATGGTGGCCGTCTCACCACGCTCCTGCTCGCTGGACCATTCCGTGTTTCTGCCCTGGGTGATGAGATCCTTCACCCAGAGAAAGACTCCAGACGCGACGCAGGCACCAAGGGGGATGAGTCCATAGAGAGCGCCGCCAAAGAACTTGCCGACAATGACGATGCCGAAGAAAATGCCGGCACAAAGGACGTTTGCCTTGCGTTCCAAAGACTCGAACATCGGCTCGTAGCTGACGCTTGGCGTCTTGAAGAAGTTGACATTGGTCTTTTCACTGTGAATAGGTACGTCGGACGTGCTTCCGGGCTCGACGGGGTCGGGTGGTGCGGTGACATCTTGAGCTTGGCGGTACTCCTCGCCAGACTGCTTCGAGGAAGTGGCAACGGTTGCTGACTTTCCGAGGTTCTCGTTTGGCACGGAAATCTGAGGAAAAGCTTGTCAGTCGACCTCAATCAAGTGATATGTGAGGGCTGTAAACGGCATACCTGGGGGTTCTCGACCACCTCCTTGAAGTCCTCGTTTGCGTTTTCTATCTCGACATCCTTGCCTGTCACGGGATCCCGCACAGTCTTGGTTTTCCTCTTGCGAAAACGGTGGTCCTTCTCGGGGACATGGGCTTTCGCGTCCCCAGTTTGGCCATTCTGGTGGTGCTGGCGCTGTTCTTGCTTGATCTTCTTGTCCTCGGCGTCAAGGGCAGCATCTCGCTCGCGCTTCTCCTTGTCGAGCTGTGCCATAAACTCGTGGACATTGGGAATTCGGTTGCGGCCGCTGTAGTGCTGGCCGCCGGTCGGCAGTTGGTGCTCGTCGATATTCATCTTGCTGCCACGCACGACCCTGTGAGTGCGACCTGTACCTGCGTGCCTGTTTGGATGAAAATAAGAGTGGGTATATGAGATCAGTCGTAGCTCACACTACTAGACTGTCGCAGGCAGGCTCGATTTGCCGAGTCAATTGGGCTTCAGACTGCACTTGCACTGCACTGAGAATATTGGCAGGCGGACAATCGGCAGAGGAAATGGAGAAAAGCTAAGAGGCACAAGAATGAGAGCGCGGAAGCTGGATCTTGGAAATATAATTCCAAGAAGCACCTAGCGAAAGAAGGAACGGAGCAACCCCTCCAATTGCCTCATAGCTCCTCTTCAGCTTGCGCCAGCTGTGACAGCTTGTTTGGGCTGCCTTAGTCTGCCCATCCCTCCCCCTTTCCCCAATCTGCCTTCAGCTGCAGCTTGCACACACTCACTGGACTGGCTTGTTTGGTCGGGCTGGCCTGGCATGGCTGGAAGCTGTGATGGTCAATGACGTAGCTTGTCTTGCGACTTGCTGCCACAAAGCCCACTAACAGCATGCGCGGCCCCACCCCCGGCCAGCCCCCGGCACCTTGCAGCACCTATGACGGAGCAAGTCTCCGGTACATCGCATGGCTCGTGCGTTTTCCTGCTACTGCCACTGCATTTTGTCCGTCGCCCATCATTTGAAGACCGAGCAAAACAATCCTGCACCAAGTCTTCAGCACCAGAGGCGCGTTACGGCGAAGCGACCGTGGCTGGACAGGACGACGCTAACTGGCCCTATCATTTCTTGTGCGTGGCTTCTGGCGGGAATTCAGCATTCCCGTCACGTTTTCCTGTTTTTTTACGGCCTTTTCGATGGCTTGTGCAACAGCGATGCGACGACCTGTGGCCGATCTGCGGTAGGGATCGCCTTTTGCTTGCGTAAATGGCTGGGGGGAGCCGCTGTTTTGGCTGCATGTCCATTGGCCTTCGTGGCCTCGAGCTGGCTAGGCCGTCTGGCTCCCAACCCACGTCGTGCCTTGGCTCTATGTTTAGTTCAGCTGCGGACTTTGACAGCTGGAGGGGGCGGGCGGTTGTGGTGGGATGGTTTGCTCCGTTGTTGGTTTGTGGCCGGCGTCGTCTCGTTCCTGTGCTGTTTTTGGAGGCACAGCAGTAGGATGAGGAGGTCTTTGACTAAGCTGACTTTTGTATCGGACATGGCCAGATGGCTGTATTCACTGCAGATCGTCGAGAAAACAGCATCTTCGACCTGGTCAGCCGCCATCCGCCCTCCGCCATATCGAAAACTCTCCGTGCGGCTCATCGGCGTCGACATGGGTTGCCGCAGTCCCGATGAACGATTGCGTTTGCAGGGGATGGCAAAAATATCACCACCCCTTACGCAAGCCAAGGTTGTCCTCGTCAGTCCACTTCTCCATTGTGCCCCGCTTACGACGATACCTTACCTCATCGCCTCGTAACGGATCAACCATCAACCGAAATGCACGGGAAACTGTGATCGAACTCACAAGTTGGCCAGACCGCCAGCCCATCCCTGTCCCCCAGGGCCAGCTAGCTCCTTAGCAAAGACGGTCAAACATCCAACCGCACGCTAAGCATTGCTATTCCCCAGACCAACACCAAGACACGATGAGTCCACTTGTCATCGATGATGGAACTCCGAGAACTTGGTCGTATCGCGTGTGCTCATTAGATCCTAACCGATTCTAACTAGTACATGTGTATCTTACAACGCCGAGCCGCCATTTTTCCCTATTTCCCCAACACCATGCGAAATCATATGCTTCCCCTGCAAATTAAATCCAAACGCTGTGTCACTTCAAGCAACTACCAAATCAGGTGGAATGGGCGTGTCCCTCCTACTCCCAGTTTCCGGGTTGAAGAGCTCCGCCGACCCAAGCCTGTCAATGCGCGACGAGGACGGCCTCAGGATCGTCGGCGTCGAGAGATCCACGTCCATGTCCCCGGGCGTGAGCCCCCGATCGCACGAGACGCTACTCGTGTCTGACATCTCAACGTCTCCAGCCTCGTCGAACGTCTCCACGCTAGGCGTCGGGAGATCGCCGCAGGTTTGCACCTCCACGACGGGAGGCGCGGGCTGTTGCTTGCCGTCGTCTTCTGCTTTGTTTGCTGCCGCCTCAGCCGCGCGCAACGCAGCCACAGCACCGCCAAGGTTGTCCGGGTCCTCTTCCTGGTTGCCAATCGTCCAGACCCAGCGGCGCTTCTTCTCCTTTCTCTTCTTCTTCCTGATGCCGCCTGAGGGGCTGGCTCCCGCGGGGCTGGATACCACCGGTGAGCTGGCTGCGAGGCCAGCCATCCGTCTGCGCATCTCTTCAAACGGTCCGGGCGTCATTCCGCCATCGAGTGTTTCGTTGCCAGTGAAGGCGAGTGCGAGGTCTAGAATAGTGTTCTGGTCCTGTTGTGCCCTGGGAGATGCGGGAGACGAGTCTTCGATGAGCAGGTCGATGTGAGATTTCGTATACGTGTTGGTTGTGATGGTTTGCTCGATCGGGCTGTTGTAAGCTACCCGGCGTGCCGCCTTCTCTTGCAAGCGCAGGGACTGTCGACGGGGTGATGTGGGCGTCTTGGCTGTCGGGGGAGGAAGCGGCGAGTTGCGGAGAATGCTGTGAAGAGATCGAGGGTGGCTGTAAGGTGGCTTGGTGCCAGCCAGTGTGAGGTTGGTTCGTTTACTCAGATATCGTGGTGTCGGCTGGTCGTTCATCAAAGCCGTCAGAGGAGTCTGGGCGTCGATTGGTGAAAACCCGAACATTTGAGGGCCCTCTACGGGGCCTGCTGATAGCGGCGGTGTCGCAGTCATGGTGCTTGGAAAGGTGATTTCCATGGCAGCGGCGGGGGAGAGAGGGTGAGCTGTCAGCGGCGTCTCGGGATAGCAGACTGTATACGGGGTTTGTATCCGTAGCTGGGGAGTCACGAGATCCTTGGCTTCGTTGATGGCAGTCAAGGGGTCGGCGATGGCGGGAGTCGACCTCTCAATGGCGGTGGTGTAGACATTGGAGAGGGTGTTGAAGGTCGTTGGGGACTTGGGGTCAACGAGAGCCAAGGATTTGTTGATTCTCGTATGAGGAGCCGGCGATGTCTTGATAGACAAGGACAGCTTCGGCCTCCTTGAGGCAGTTCCAGTCTGGGTAGCCATTATGACCACGTGATGCAGGTCTCGGACCACAGGAGCGGAGATGAAGTTAGTGGGAGATGCAGTTCTGCGGCTCGGTCCTAACAGCCAGCAGAGAGTTGCTTCAACCGGGATCAGGCAAAGAAGGTTCTTAGCCTCCCGAAGCGATGGAATTACCGGGGATGAGACGCGCAACTCGGGTCGAAGAAGGGGGAAAACGTTGGTTGAGAGTTTGGCAAAAGAAGGGGACAGCGGCTATATAGATTGGGTCGTGTTGCAACGCTGTGGATGGTGTGACAGTGTGTGGTTGTAGTGAGGGGTTAAAGTCTCAAAGGTTGACCAAGATGGCGGGCGTATCGAGTCGATAGTGGAAGATGGGGAAGCGCCACTAAGCAAACATATATGCAATGCAGTGTGACTATGTAGAGGACAATAACCGCGATGGCACGAAGGATTGTGTCGCACGCAGCTCGACAACCCTCGGCTCAGGCGTCTCCAGTTCTGGTTGGCTATTTTGGGCAGCGGATGTGATGGGAAAGAGGCGCAAGCGCCGGACTCAGAGGGGACCCCTGTCGAGTCGACTCGCATCCCTGCACATTGGCCAATCAAGACGCGGCGCTGGTCGGCTGTTTGTGCCCGAAGCGGCGTCTATTTGTTCAACGACCGGGGTGATTTTTCAGTAAGGATTGCTCGCCATTTCCGGGGGCAGAAAAAGACGGTGAGAATGCAGTGGCAGCGGAAGAGTCATGTGATGGTCTTGTGGACAGCAGCTGAGCGAGCGAGCAGTCATGTCCAGTCGCTGGTTGAGGCACACAGTATCGGCGCGACGTGCGGTGCCGAAGGGGCGAAAGAGGCGGCTATTCAGACGCCGTTGTCCAGTCCTGAAGCCGGGTGAGCGCCATACAACAAGCCACGGCCGAGTGTTCCTTTGACGGCGGTCGAAACAGAGTGCGTATGCGTCCGGATCCTACATCCAACTCCGGCTCGTCGTCCGGCTGCCGGAGACTTTCAAATTAAACGAAAGAAACGTTGTTGAAGGCTAAACATTCCGCACTAAGATGGGATGACGGCGGCACTGCGTAAGCTGTGTTTGAGTAGGAGGGGGAAAACAACGGGCTGAGTGTCGGAAGGAAGCGAACTTTCGTCTCATCTCTCCATCTTTTTCGGTCCACTTTCGTCTGTGCGAGACAGCCTGAGAGGGCAGGACACTACTGGAAGCGAAGGCGAGAAGACGAGAGACGCGACAGCCGATGCCAGGTAATTTGCAGCGTCTGCTGTGCCACTGTTGAGGCGGATCTGCTGGCTGGGGAACGATCCCAAAAGCGACGATCAAAAAGAGGCTCTGAGGAGGCTCTTTTGCTGCCAAGCCACCTGAATACGATTTTGAATCGGCTCTGAGCCTTTGACCCCGGTGCAAGGCAGGCTGCAGTGAGTGCACTTGGGGAGTTGGTCCCAGCCTGGAGACTCCCCAGTGGAGTTGGCCCGTGTTCTCCTCGTCCCAAGTATACCAAAATTAGGTAATCATGCAAAGTTTCATAAAGTTGACCCCCACTTCCCAATCTGATGCGGGGGCACCTGCCACAAACCGGGGCCGGCAGGTGCTCCCACGCCGGCTGCCAGCCCCAACACTTACTCGATGGGAGAGAGCCCCATCCCTTCTCTCCAAATTCGACTTCACACCCCGCCGGCGACCCTCCATCACTTCTCCAAAGCCGCCGGCCTGCCCGAAGCACGCTCGTCTGCCGACCATCTCCAAGGAAGCCAAGAACTTCACCCATCCCGGGCACGCCCACGACCGTTAAACATCTTTCAGGGGCCGCATTGACGACTCGGCCGATTCCGATTTCCCTACGTCACTCTTCTCTCCAGATTGGCATTTAGATAACCCTTTTTG